TATGACCCATCCGGGCCAACCCGGGACCGGCCCCTGTGGGTCGGTCGGCTGGCCGGGCGTGCGAGACGCCAGCCGGTCTGGCTGACGTCTCGCACTCCCGGTCGGTGGCTAGGGAGCACCGCCCGACGGGATGAGTCGGTCGCCGGGCGGTGCGGGTGGGGGCTGGCCGGCCCGCCTGGAGGTACACCGGGGCGGTATCCCCTAGCCCTCCCCGGTCGGGGAGGCATCTTCTAGACCTCCCCGGGGCCGGGACGGTTGTCATATGGGTTAAGACACCGTCCCGTCCTGGCCAGGCGGGCTTTAGATACTTTTTATTCATTTTAACCATGCATTGGCTCGTGAACATGCATTGTGGTACAGTTTAACTGTCTTATAAGTGTATGAATAATGTATATGCAAGACACACACGCGCACGCTCACAAACTCAAACATACTGCACCCAATCATACAGCATTTGTGCATGCGCGGGCGCGGCCGCGCGCTCTTCTTGGCGCGCGCGGGCGCCGGTGTGGGCGCTGGTGGCTGGGGGCGGGCGTGCGCTGTGTGCGAGCGGGTGCCCTGTTTCAATAATATTGTAAACTGTTTTGCAGCTCAACCTTCAAACAATACCTACCTATTGATTTTGGTGCAACAGTGAAAAAAAAGCTTCATACCAAATGCTCGCCTTTTGTTTTGTTTTCTTGTTTATATAGTGTTCGCCTGTGTCGTCCATTGGGTAGGTCAGAGCGCCAATATGGAAAGATACGGGTCATTGTTCTGTGTTTGGCGTCTTCGTTGTGTTGTTGCGCATTGGAGAGGAACAATGTATGTTGCAGTGTGGCACGAAAATAAACCGTTCAACCGAAAAAAAAGAATAGCAGTTTTCATTTTCCCCCATTGACTTATAATGGTGAGGTCACGAAAATGACCTGACCTCATATGACCTTTAGGAAAAATCCGAGATATACAAATTGTGAGGCTCATAATGGATACTAGATCCTGCAAGTTTCATTTCCCTGTGACATCTCCTCTGGCAGTGAGGGCGTTGCGAAGTTGCGACATCTGAAGACCGTGCAGAGGTTCACTTATGACGTCATAGGTCAGTGACCTGACCTGACCCAAAAATGCGGTTGGTGTCAAAACATCTGGCTTGAATCAAAGGTCAGGTATGCCAAGTTTCAGCTCTCTATCACCAGCGTGTTCGGAGGTATCGCGAAAAACCCCTATGGGGGGGGGGCGGCACCCGCCCCCCCCTCGGCCGGCGAGGGTTAAGATAGATGAAACAAGTCAAAAAGTTTAGAGCAAAGCTGCGAAGTCTACATATAAATCACATCCGTTTTTTTTCGTTTTACGTATTCATTCCGTGTAGCTTATCGAAGTTCTATGCAGCTATAAATTACCAGGTAAATGCTCAAAATTCAACGGGTTAAATCCAAGAATACTTGACTTGCTAGTGCTGGTGCGTGAATAATGTAATGTAAAATATACTCTTGATTTTGCTTTTTACTGCTTTTTATCGCAAAGCTGTATCACAGCTAGGAGCGAAATGAAACAGAGTTGCAACAGTGCCACTACACAAGGCCCACATTTGAGCGATATGCATCCCCAAACTTACAATATGGCTAATGCCGCAAATGGGATGAAGCAGCACCGGCTGGAGCTATACTGCATAAACTGGATATTAAATGCAAAATGATTGATAAGCCTTACAGTCAATCGTATATTGATGTTCCATATGAAATCGTTTCGTTGACTATAATGATTATTATTGCCCAGCACCAGCAGCATTGCACAACGCACATGCTAGCAAATGTCGCAAATATTAACCCGCGCCCTGGTGGGGTCTGTTTATAACGCGACCTGGTGGGGGGGGGGGGCTATTTTTTGCCCCCCCCCCCTCGTATCTCCGTAACTACTGGACGGATCCGCAAAATTCAAACGGCGTTTGAAAGGCCTGTCAAATTTGTTGAAGGAAACCAAATTTCATTGACCTCGGGGTCACCGATGACGTCACAGGTCAGGTCAAAGATGAAATGTTTCACCGTTCACGGGTCTTTTAGGGAATGCGCTATAATACCGAGGAAAACGCATTTTGTCGAGAATCAGCGGTAGGGCGTCAGTTGCCTAGTAGATATGTTGCTATAAGAGGTCACTGGCAATACCAGGTCAGGTCACAGGTCAGGTCACCAAGGGTCACAGGTCAGGTCACATGAGCCCAACTTTACTAAGGTTGTGTGATACATGTTTTATGGCCAATTTTTCATTTCCAACTCAATGGTGTTGGTTATAAGACTATCAGGTACGGCTTAGGTCACTTTCTGGTGAAGTTCAGGTCAAGGTCAGGTCAAGGTCAGGCCAAAAAAGGTCAAATTTTAAAGTTGATAGTTTTGCATAAAATGGGTATTGATTCGATGCAACTCGTCACGGGGAGTCTAATGGTGGTCTTTGTTTTGCGCTACGGGGTCTAGAATTGCTAAAAATTGAGTTTGAAAATTTGACGTCATCAATTTTGAACAGTTTTTTTCGCTATAACTTCGCCAAAAAAAGAGGTATCAATCTCAAATTTGGTATGTGGATTGAAGGCGGTAAGGACTATCACATATATTCAGGTTTTTGCGAAATTAAAAAAACTTTTTGGATTTTTCGATTATTATGTTCAAAAAATCTATTTTTTGATTTTTGGGGGTCAAAATCCAAAAATTTCAAAAATCCGAGATAGCAGTTTTGTAGCCCTGTCCAATCTACAGCTTTTATGTCTTAATCATTTTTCTGTATTCGCAAAGCTATAGGCCTGACAGCTCTTCCCGCGAAACCTTTTTTTGGGTCGAAAACGGCAGAACATGACGTCACTCTGACGTCATTTCCGGCCAACCTATCATAGCCTTTGGAAAAATTTTTGGTCACAATGTGTAACATTGATGTCCGGGAGGGTACTGAAAGTTTGGTGACGATCGGCGCAGCGGTTCTGGAGATATATCGAAAAGTCTGAAGGGGGGGGGGCAAAAAATAGCCCCCCCCACCAGGTCGCGGGAGCACGGCCTCATATAAGATCGGACCACAATAGCCCGACGCCGCTTGAAATGAGTTGGGCAGGAGTTCCGAGTTCAATCCCTAGATCCTGGATTTTTTGTTATAAATGTAGTAATTTGATCATCAGACTTTCTGTATCCGCATTGTTTTATTTGCATTTGGACTTTTTCGATGCAACATGTTTCAGCCAAAGGCACCGGTAAACGCACAGTTCCAACTTCCATACTTGTCATAAATTTCCGATGCTAGCTCATTTGTCGATCGTTCATTGACGCAAACCCGTTCTTTTAGTCTCGAACATGACAGCGTTAGTAGACGCTATTTGTAGTTGTCATACATCGCCTATGGCCCATGATGACACAGAGCATTGATTCTGGTTGGTGGTATCGACTCAAACGTTGCCCCCTATCTCGCGCCTTCTCTGCCGTCCGTGTTTCGCACGGTGCTGCACCATATGTGAGCGCTCACGTGCCGACAGAGGTGCCGGCGGGTCAGCCGTCGACACCGGCACGGCCACTGCCGCTGTCGGAGTCCGAGTACATTCGGGTCGGCTTTCCGCCGTCGTGTTTTCAATAAACAGAGCCCCGGTGCGGGAGCCAGCCTCCGACCGCCGCAGGGTAAATATAGGCCACCGGCCGGGCCGCCAGGTTTCGCGCAGAGGCGGCGACAGGTGTCGGCACAGGGGAGGACCGAGATAAACGCATCGCTGGTTCCTTCCCTGTCCGATGGACCCGGGCCAATTTCGGAGACAGAGACCCGAGTGCGTCGTATGTCATTCCCTCAGATAATCGTCCCTGGACCCGCCCGTGGCGCAGGTGGTAGCACTGACCCAGAGTCGGCAGCCGTCCAGATGTGGGTAGAGGTTAGCTCGTCTGTCGGCTGTCGGTGCCAAGCACGGCTCCAACTGGGACGGAGCGGGCTGTGCCAGTGGCCGCGATCTCCGGGGGATGGGCCGCCGGATTGCACACTGCACAGTTCACACGTGTCTGGCAGAGATGAGGCTGCACGTGCGTTCACAGAACAGACAACGGCCCGAGATTCATTCACAAGCACGGTTCTCCAACAATGCGGATATTGATTGCGCTCGCAAATAACGCCTGCCGAAAACAAGGTGTGTCGTATGAATGCCCAAGGCAAGGAAAGCGTGTACCTACCTATTTATTTTCTTACTGACAGAACGGAATCTGCACACTGCGCCACGGTTCGGCATCTCTCAGCTGGGAAGGGCCACTGAGTCACGGCATCATTCAGATCTGGCCGGCCAAGATAAGCTCAGAGTGAAAAGTTTCAGAACACCGTCGACGAACGCCATTCCTACAAATACTTATATAATCCATCACTGTCATTAACAACGGACGCAACAATCGGGACTTGCGATAGTCATCGGACATTTTACATTGCTTTTAAAGGCCTTAAAATAAAATAAAAACAGACATGAGGCAAAAAGGCAAAAGTAACTCATTTATTGGATAAACATTTTTAGCCACGAAAACCTTAAACCGATTTGCTTGAAATCTTAAAACAAAGAAATGAAATGTCCAGTCAGAAAATAATTTCAACATCACATATAGTACGGAAGTACGTTCTTCCTGTACCGAATGTCAGCACGCCACCGGAACTGCCAATTGCCGCGATGACGTCATCTGTTGTCTTTGGCTGTCCGGGGACATCATCAGTCACCGGTCGGAGGTGATCAGCACCTGATACCACGGCGCGGGGAGACGGAACGTGATCAATATCCGCCGAACCAGGAGAACGTCGCCAGTCTCAAGTCTGCTCAGAAAACCAAACATACGAGAAAGGCTTGAGAAGGCTGCTAGTCTATCTTTGATATGGCCGTGATAGAAATAAGCAAGGCGTATGCCTAACGTTATGTGGGTTTGAAGTAATCGGTGTAATGTCTTGCCGCATCCGAACGTATTCTCTGCTTTTAATTCAGCCTATTTTTCATTACTGCACGCAACATTAGCTCTCTATCCCTGTTTTCGCAGTGGGTCTGTTTGACTCTGGAAGCCCCGGCGATATCCAGGCCTTTGAGAACGCCATCGACGAGATCAACAACTCGTACGACTGCCTGCACGGCAGCAAGCTGAACGGCATCAAGATCATTATCTACCCGGGGGACAGCTTCAAGGCGGCCAAGGAGGGTGAGACGGCGCGGGCGATGTGGATTTTTTCTTCTTCTAATGTTACCTTGTGCTGAAAATATGCAGACCTCCTAGGTCTATGGCTAAAAAACGAATCACTGTCTTACCTCTCATGTGACTTGTTCAAATTCACATTCGCCGGTGGTCTGTTCACAGTGTGTTGCCACCTGGAGCGTTGCGTTACCACCTGTCTGTCCACAGTGTTTTACCACCTGGAGCGATGTGTCCACAGTGTGCTACTACCTGGAGCGATGCGTCCACAGTGTGTTACCACCTGTCTGTCCACAGTGTGTTACCACCTGTCTGTCCACAGTGTGTTACCACCTGTCTGTCCACAGTGTGTTACCACCTGTCTGTCCACAGTGTGTTACCACCTGTCTGTCCACAGTGTGTTACAACCTGTCTGTCCACAGTGTGTTACAACCTGGAGACGATGGGCGCGGCGGCGGTGGTCGGTCCGCAGGTGTCGCTCACCACCTCTCGACACATCCAGTCGCTCTGCCACAGTCTCCAGGTGCCGCACCTGGAGGGACGCTGGAGCTACCCGGTGCCCTCCAGCTGGACCCGGGAGAAGTTCACAGCCAACTTCTACCCCACGCCGCCAGATCTCAACCAGGTCAGACACACCGTGCCACTAGATACGGGTTCAATAATTCATTTAAATTTTATTTTAACTATACTCATTTACATTCAGGCTCCAAAATCATGCCCTGAATGGTGATACTCATCACCTTACACCGATGTAGCCTTACCATGTCAAATATTTGCAAAATAATCGGTATCTTTCACCATAGCGGGAAACTTCATCCAAATGGCTGGGTTATGCTGTCACGCAGCACACGCTTGTATTGCGGGCTAGTCTACCGAGAGTTACCATAACCGAAGATCGCACTGCAGGCCCCATTCATGAGGCTGAGGGTGACTGAAAAAGGCTCAGTTACATTATGCTTCACCTGTGTCAAATAATTTTCAGTGAAATAAGCTGTTTCTTCTGCACAGACATAGCTTCCTTGACCAGCAACGTCGCGCCTTTTCATAGTTTTTTCCTCAAATAAAACTGTACTGAATTACGGCTAAGCATAATTTAATTGTGTTTGCAGGCCTACATAGCGCTGATCAAAGAGTGGAATGCCAAGGCCATTGCCGTAATCTATGAGGACAATGACGGCCTGATCCGTCTGCAAGAGGCTCTCACCGATCTCAGAGAGCCAAAAGTTCATTTGGCCCAACTTCCGAACGATCCCAACCGAGATTACAGGTCAGTCGATATCGGATGTTTTATGTGACTTGTCTTAACCCTCGCCGGCCGAGGGGGGGGGGGCGGGTGCCGCCCCCCCATAGGGTTTTTTCGCGATAGCTCCGAACACGCTGGCGATAGAGAGCTGAAACTTGGCATACCTGACCTTTGATCCAAGCCGGATCTTTTGACACCAACCGCATTTTTGGGTCAGGTCAGGTCACTGACCTATGACGTCATAAGTGAACCTCTGCACGGTCTTCAGATGTCGCAACTTCGCAACGCCCTCACTGCCAGAGGAGATGTCACAGGGAAATGAAACTTGCAGGATCTAGTATCCATTATGAGTCCCACAACTTGTATATCTCGGATTTTTCCTAAAGGTCATATGAGGTCAGGTCATTTTCGTGACCTCACCATTATAAGTCAATGGGGAAAAATGAAAACTGCTATTCTGGCGCCGGGAACGATCTCCAACTATCTCAAGCACACAGAATCGTGATTTGATGCACTCCTTGCAAGGTTAGATGCGTCACTTTTGCAATGTTGACCTTGCGTGACGTCATTTATGACGTCATCAAGGTCATATTAGTTTTTCGTCAATAACTCTTGATCAAATTGAGCTAGCGAGTCGGGAGAAGCCACCAATGGACTCAGGAAGACTTGCCGAATCGAATGATATGCGACATGACCTCTTTCGACCAACTTCGTGACCTGGGGGTGCTGACCTGACCTTGACCTGAGGTCAACACCCCAAGTTGACCTGACCCGGACAAAAAGTATATCATTCGACGCGTCTGAGCGAGACGAACACGATGCTGCCAAAATCGGCGCTCTGCGGCCGTTTTTTGCGAAGTTATTCACCAAAAACTGAACCGTACCTTGGGGCACTTGACCTGACCTCAGAGGTCACCGGTTGACCTAGGACCTTAAAATCGGGTACCAATCTCTGCGTCTCGTAACGGCGCACACGCTCGTTTTTTCCGCGACGCGCTAGCTCCACCAGGGGCGAAACGGCGAGGGGGGGGGGGGTCGTACCCGCCCCCCCCCCCTCGGCCGGCGCGTATGTAGAAAACCAATAGGTCCGGCGAGGGTTAACTAAAAACGATGTTCTGACTCCAGGGTGCGCTATGATGAAGCTGGTTGATCAATTAGAAATACATATGCTGATAAATAAATAATACACGAAAATAAGTATTTCATGCGTTGCAACTTCATTGCCTGCGATTTCCACTTCCATTTCGTAATATACGTGTCCTTTCAGACCGTTTCTGAAGATGATCAAGATGACGATGCGGATCCGCCATCTTGTGATCGACTGTCGCGCTGAGCTGATCCGTACCATCATGGACCAGGCCAACCAGATCGGTCTTGTCAGCGAGTACTTCAGCTTCATGTTCACTTCCTTGGTAAGTATTTTCAGGCACGCTATATAGGAATTGCAGATGAAATTGTACTTAACTAACTTACAAATGCGTATTCTTGACTGATCATCATTGCGAAAAACTTGATAAAATAATTCATTTTTGATATTTCATGTATTTCAAACGCTGTGCGCTCCGTCCCTGCGTTGACCCTCTCGCCTATATTCGCAGGACCTGCACACGGTGGACTTTACGCCGTACCAGATCCAGCAGGGTCGGGTGAACATCACCGGGTTCCGGCTGCTGCGCGAGGGCTGGCGCCAGAGCTCCGACTCGTGCGCCCAGGGCCAGGACTGGCGCACCAACATGAACCAGCTGACGGTGAGCATCGCGCTCATGGGACAATGATTAGTGAATACGCCGGCTAGGCCAGCGCTGGGGCCTTGTATGCCGTATGATGCCTATGTCATGGTGCGATTTTTTTTTGTAAATACTGTGCAATGGTGTCTTATTTGCATTGCTTCGATCTTTTTTTATACAATTTTTTAGATAAGCTTCTTTTTCGGTGTGTTTGAACTTCGAAACATCTTATAAACGAGCATCTTTGCATCGTTGCGTCAGTTTCTTCTTTTAGATTTAGATTTTAGCTAACAGGTGATCTCCATTTAACTTGACCTGCTTTTTTCAGACGACGAGTATGCTGATGTACGACGCCCTACACTCGTTCGCCCGTGCCCTGAGGACGAGCGAGCGAGAGGGTCCGATCAGCGTCCCCACGCTCAGCTGTGACACGGAAAGGGGCTGGGGCACCAATGGCTCGCAAATCATCAGACTCATGCTGCAGGTACGGCTGTACATATACTGTACAGCCGTATTTGTACGGCTGTACAAATACTTCTTGGATTACGCACGTTTTCATGTGCACGCCTACCTCTCAATAATCGAGAAAGATAAACATTATTTAGGAAATCGAAATAAAAACATTCAGAATATCTCACAACTCCGGTCCAAGTTGTGTGAAATTACATCTGGATGTTGAGCTTATAAGCTCAATGAGACTATAGTCTCCATCTCTCCACGCCATTGTAAGACCCCCTTCTGCTCCCCTTTCCCGCAGACGCCAATGATGGGCCGGAGCGGTCTGATCCGACTGAGTGAGTTCGGACGGCGGGACGACTTTGAGCTGGATGTGCTGGAGCTGGGCGCCGCCGGACTGGAGGTGGTGGGCTCGTGGTCGCGCGCCGGCGGCGTCAACTACACCCGAACCTGGGGCCAGAAGACGGAGGAGATCGCCACCAGCATGTCCGGCAGGACGTTCAGAGTGGTCGTCGGTCTGGTGAGCGGTGGGGATCACCGGAGAGGGATGGCCGAGCAGCCTGACGGATTTGCCGGAAAGATGTCCTGCACTTCACCGTTTATATCGCAAGCTTTTGATGCAACACTTATATGTAACGCACACAGTAATGTCGTTCACGTACTGCACATTCAGATGCTTTCAGCAACATCTTAACAGCAACAGAAACTTTCAGCATGACACGTTCTTACAATTATGCGCGCAATATTGGCGGTGTGGGTTAAATGCATCGTAAGCAATATTTTGACGTGCTATTAACTACTTTCGTTCGCATATACCTGCCACTGCACCCATGAGCCTGTCCTTTTTTGAGGTTCGTTTTTCATATTCTTGTTCTTTTTTTTCAGGCCAACCCGTATGTGATGGAGGATAATACGACAGAGTCGGGGTTCAGTGGTTTCTGCATTGACCTAATGGGGGAAATAGCAAAGAAGAAAAAGTTCAAGGTTGAATACCACGTCTCCCCAAACAACCAGTATGGCACCTTCAGCGAAAAGGAGGGACCATCTGGGATGATGAAGGAGCTCATGGAAAACGTATGGATTGCCGACGTTTACATATTTATTCACACGAATCATGATTTGCCGTTCGTTGTCCTCGAACGGCCTTGTTTTAGTTTTAGTTTTGGTAGTTTTAACGCCTTGGTTTTCCTCATCTGACAAAGATATCTTTTTAAGAGTACGCTCGCAACTTCGCGATTCACTCAAATAACGTCAGCATCAATATAACTTATTTTTTTCAAGAGCATGTACAAAATGATAAGACTCCAAAAAGCACGGGTGCCAATGTAAACATGTGACGTATTTGTGCCTCTGACAGGCGGCTGACATGGCCATCGCTGACCTGTCCATCACGCTGGATCGCGAGAAGGGCGTCGACTTCTCGATGCCCTGGATGAACCTCGGTCAGTGCAGCTGCTGTCCGTCTAAACGTCCGTCCGTCCGACCCATCATCGATGTGTCGCGGTCATAGATACAATGCCAGTCCTGCTTGTAATACAAAACGAACATTTTACTCGGTTGCATACTTAAAAACGTCTTTAGGGCTGGTGAATGAAACATTTGCATAGGATCTTAGCCGACCATACTTTGAATTAGATTTACGTTTGGTCTTTCATTTATTCAGAGCTAAAACATGTTTTTCATCATCTTCTACAATCTTCTTCTCTCTACAATCTACAATCTTATGTTTAATGACGGTCAGAGATATTCCTTGCGCCTCTTTATCACGTTTTTATTTTTATAGAAGTTCACCTGTTCAATCCCGCCAAACAGACGAGGAAACTGTAAATAATCTCGCGTCGCTCGTCGCCAGGCATTAGCATCCTGTACCGTAAGCCGGTGAAGGCGCCTCCGCAGCTGTTCTCGTTCATGGGCCCGCTGTCGACCGAGGTGTGGATCTACATGGGCACCGCCTACCTGGGCGTCTCCGTGTTGCTCTTCATCCTGGCCAGGTGATGTGACGATCGGCGGGTGGAATAGGCCTGAGGGGGTACGAAGGGAAATGTGCTTGAAAAAAGGACAGATCACAAAGAAACTCAAAGGTTGCAAAAACATCACATCCAAATGCATAGTCTCTCGTGTTATAATTGTTTAAAATTTGCTGTTGCTTCAAGTTCAATAAGTCAATTCAACGAGTTGTTTTCTGTCGACCTTAGAATTTCACTGGGTTATACCCCATTAGAGATGTCAATCGGATACCAACTTTTTGGCATACCGATACCAAACCGATACCAACTCGGTATTTGGTATTTCAATCCTAATGTGTTTGGTATTTTGTTGGTATCATGAACCCTCGTTAATGTTTAAGAGGCTAAGAAATCGGTAAAAAGTTGGTATTTTCCTCTTGTTCCCAAGTTGGTTTGGTTTCGGTACTTCTCCACGGTTTTGGTTGGTATTTGGTTTGGTATCAGTATTCCGATTTTCCGTAATTGACATCACTATACCCCATATCTAAAAATATTCGCTATTTTCTACAAATGAAATATGAAATAGTTAAAAGTAACGTTTCAGCATTGTTCCTGTCAATGAGTTACATAAGAGATAAACGTTGCTGCTTATAAATAATGAATCATTAGACACTGGCGGATCCAGAGGGAGGGGAGGGAGCAAATGCCCCCATGGCACCCGAAATCGACGAAAATTTGCGTTTTGTCGAGAATAAAACGAAAACTAGCTTTAATGCGGGGACGCTAATTTTGAACTGCACAACAGTGCGTAAGGAGTCGAAATCAGATGAGTTTCTGGAATTTCGAGAAACTTTTGGGGGGTATGCCCACCACAGCGTCCAAGACCGCCTTTCTGGATCCGCCGGTGTCATAAGGTATCACAAAAATTGACGATCCTGAAATTTGCCTAATTTTGCCAATGAAATGACAGGTCCGTTTACCAATCGGTAAGTGTTTACCCCGATTACTTAGCTTTGATTTCATTAGAATTATGATCACCAAAAGATATTGCAGGATGCAAGTGGCCAGTGGTGACTTAATGAAACTGGATGTTGATGTGTCGGCGTTTTGGTCGTTTTACACAAGGGCTCAGAAGGTAAAACAATCGTACAGCAATAAATGTGTGTTAATTTAGGTATAAGTCACATACCAAAGCCTAGTCTAGAGCAATCTTCCTAATCTGAATATCGGAGCATCCATCCATTGCTCCCACGTCCATGCCCCGTTGCCGGGGGTCTGACGTAAGCTCCCTCCCTCCCTCCCTCTCTCTGACCTGGCAGGCTGGCTCCGGAGGAGTGGGACAACCCCAACCCCTGTATCGAGGACCCCGATGTCCTAGAGAACCAGTTTACCATGCTTAACTCGCTCTGGTTCACCATAGGCTCGCTCATGCAGCAGGGCTCGGAGATTGCCCCCAAGTAATTTCACGTGTACTGCACGCGCCGCGGCGCCCGTGTGCGCGTGCGGTGCCGGCTGCCGTGTGCTTTGTATACCTGGCCTTGGTTTGGTTTCTGCCGCCACCGTGCGCGGAGTGCTATCGGTGTTTCTGGCGCCACCGTGCGCGGAGTGCTATCGGTGTTTCTGGCGCCGTCTGCAGTGACCTATATATACGCTGTATGTATCTATTTCTTTTGGTTTCTACTTTCGCCCTGTACCCCTTTCTCTCTTTTCTTTGGGTGGTGTGTGACTTGCGTGCTAGTGTTTATTTTTCTGCCACTGTTTCATGCTACACCTGCTTTGCAGAAAAGACGGAAAACGATCAAAAGTTTCATATGCAAGCAGCTCTTCTGTTCCTAAAATGTGAATGGAAAATAATTGCTGAATTCGGTGGATAAAGTGTGTTCATTCAATAGCCTACATGTTATCTAAATTTCGCTATTGTTGCAATCTTGTTGAGACGTGCTAAGAGCACATACATTCCTGTTGCAGCACGTAATGCGAAGCCTTATATAAGGTATAAGGCAGCATTGCCTAAAAACAATAAAGCCCTTGAAAATACTGTCTTTCGCCTCCTGTCATTACCCACCCTGCTTTGTGGGCCCGAGGTCCCGATGGCTCGCGGTCCTCCTGTACAGACCAGCTCGAGCCGGGCTCGTGGGGCCGCCCTGCGAGCGCGACCCTTGCCCCGACCCTGGCCGGCGCCGGGGACACCAGGCGGCCGCGTCCCGTGCCGTGTCCCGTGCCGTGACAGCCGTGTGGCCCGCAGGCTCAGCCCCCAGGAGTGGCAAGAGCCGGGCGTGTGCAGTATGGCAGGAGCCGACCCAGACTTCCTCGAGAACGAAATGAACCTCCGCAACTCCTTCTGGTTCACCATTGGGTCCTTGATGCAGCAGGGGTGCGATATTAACCCCAAGTACGTGGCAGGTCATCGCCACCGCCAGCGTAGACCGCATCTATAGTGCGCGCAACCATAGTCGCCTGTGCTCGTTAGGGAAGGCGTAAACGCGTAGTCACATGAGGCGGCAGTGCGAACCGGCGGCGAGCCGCAGCTGGTCGCCCCGTAACTGACACACGTAACACCAGAGTCGTCTGACCGTGATTAACCCTCCCGGTCTCCACGGCATGTTACCCTAATCAATGTCACACATTAACAGACATTCGGACCGTCAGCTTGTCCATCAGAACTGGTCTAAAAATTGCCAGATAATTCGGAATGGTTTTTATTGTCAAAAGTTAGCATAGCTATCTTCTCCATGTAAGAAAAAAACGTTCAATCGAACGGCGTCGTGTTGTATTCGTGGAACACTTGATTTGTGATGCTGCTTACGCTGAATTACGTCCTGCTTTTGTGCCGTTGTTCTTAGGCAATTCGCGTGGAAACGCTTAGCTTGGTCATCGTTACACGTTGGTGCGAAGGTAGTTGTGGCTGCTTCGCTGGTCAATTGATTATTCGATTCCCTATTCGCTTTGAACCTTTGCGAATGATGATTAAAATAGCCATTCACAAGAAAAGTATGCGCCTGAAGATGGACACAGATAGGCTGTCATTTGTAACACAACGACATTGAAGAAGACAACACGTCGGCAATGGAACAGGCTCGTAATGAAGTTATCCTAAAATGCTCATGCGTTCAAAATTCGTCCCATTTATTACCACTTGCTACATTTAGTCTCAACATTGACTTCACAAAATCGTAAATGCCTAACATGAAAAGGTACATACTAACTAAAAAGTATTTCAAAGCATTGTCGAGCTGTAAAAACACGAATAATGTACGAGAAGGTATACCATTTTACCTATTCACGATTCGCATAGGTATTCTTCATGTCGAATCTTTTCTCATCTGCGATTATATGCTTCGACAAGGACAATCTCTTTTATCATGCGAACATGCGGTCCTCCAGAAAACAATTAGAAGCCAACAAACCAATAAAAAGAGTAGTGCCCCTGGGTTCCAATGATACGATAACGACTTATCCTCACGTTAGCCAAACATTATATCCCACTTGTAAATAAAGTTAGAGCATGCGCTGCTTTTTGCATGGAATTTGCATGGGTGTTATGCATGGGATTATATGAGCTCTTCTTCTACTTCATTTACAGATATTTCGTGAACGAAGTGTTACTATTTATAAATGTCGGCTAACAATGGATTTAACTTGATTGGGAATATGGCATAGAGCTATGCAGTATAATGATTAATAAATATATGTATAGTTATAATTTTTCATGCATTCCAATTGCTTCTCTGCATATTGTTCACTCGCCTGTCAAACGCAGATCTGCTAAATTGGTATCACTATAACTTTCACACTGTTTTGAATCGTTCCGAAATCAGTCGAGCCTCTAGCCGCGATATCTCGCGGTGAGACAGCCCCTCCACCCGACAACCCCTGCCGACGACCCCTGAATCTGACCGTGACCCGTGTCAGGGCGGTGTCCACGCGCATGGTGGCCGCCTGGTGGTGGGTGTTCACGCTCATCATGATCTCGTCCTACACGGCCAACCTGGCCGCCTTCCTGACCGCCGGACGCATGGAGACGCCCATCAAGTCGGCAGAGGATCTCGCCAAACAAACCACCATCAAGTACGGCGCCAAGAAAACCGGATCCACCAAATACTTCTTCCGGTGAGTAGCGCAAAGATAAAACCTTCGGAAGGTGGTGTCTGCCCTCTAATGATATAGCATTTAATGTTTGGATAGTTGTGAGTGCGAGCGACCTCGCCGTTATACATTCATGTCGTTGCTTCCTTAGTTCATATCTATCCAGCCAGCCAATGATAATTGTGCCCGACAGCGACTCGAGCAAGGAGCTGTACCGCCGCATGTACAACTTCATGGAGTCGGCGCGGCCCACCGTGTACGTGGACTCGTCGGACGCCGGCGTGGAGCGCGTCATCAAGTCCAAGGGCTTGTACGCCTACCTGATGGAGTCCTCCGGCATTGAGTACGTGCTGGAGCGCAACTGTGAGCTCACCCAGGTCGGTGGCCTGCTGGACCACAAGAGCTACGGCATCGCCCTCCAGCCCGGTGAGTCTGAGGACAGTGCAAGTCCCTACTTTGCCCTGCTGGCGAGAAAGGGAGTATGACTGAGGGTAGCTGGTGAAAGGTTAAAAAGTCATGGTTACAGGACGTCTACTCGTAGCTGTATACGTCCATACACTTTTTTCTCTAGAAGATATCTTGCGTATATCTACACTTTAATGTTGTCGACAGCTTATTGGTTGTGCCCATGTGAGTAAAGGCATGATTGAATTTCAGTTGAGACAAGTAAAATAACACGGAACAAAAATGATAGACGAACGCTCGTCTATCAGCGTTCGTCTATCATTTTTGTTCCGTGTTATTATAAAGGCATGATTGATTTTTGACGGTAATAATCTTTTTGGGATTTTTTTTTCCTATAAGGTCGTGCTTACATGTATCGATGCTTCACAGGGTCTCCATATACAACAGTTATTAATTCGGCTATATTGGAAATACAAGAAGAGGGAAGACTTCTCGAACTGAAGAACAGATGGTGGAAGGCCAACACACCGTGTGTGAGTCTTTCACTCTTTGCAGCTGGCCCATTGATAGCGTATGTCATAAGTAGATAAGTGCACAGATGGGAAATAGTTCGACTGTACAATACACGTTACAGTGTTAAGTTCGTTTCCAAAATATGTAACACGGGTCCCTGGTATTGAATGATTCGCTAAAACAATTCTTCAAGCAATAAACATATAAATAATTTGAGTGGGTACTAAGTCTAAGGCATGCCTGGAACCGTACTATTTCGATAGCAATAACGTTTTTCATTCTTCCGATCTGAGGCCTGCACTTGTAAAGCATTGCTTCAGCATTGAGCTGCATTGACATGACCCGCTCCCCACAGCCCGACGACAACAAGGTGAACGCCAACGAGCTGGGCATCGACAACGTGGGTGGCGTGTTCGTGGTGCTGCTGGGCGGCATGTGTGTGGCGGTGCTGATCGCCTTCAGCGAGTTCATCTGGAAGTCGCGCAAACTGGCGCACGCCGAACACGTGAGTCGACACTCTGTCAGTTGTCAAGTAAATGCTTACTATCTTCTGAGCACAACTTCTTCGCATTTATATCATTGCAATATATACGCCATAGTCCATAGTATTGAATATTTATGCTCATTTAACTTTTTTAAATTTAAAATGGAAGTTAAACATTGGGAAAACTTGCCTAAAATAGCGAGTTCCTCAGGATGTTAGAAGTCATGCCTATCGAGAGCCAGGCCACTCACGCTGCTTTATCAGCATCGCACTCATTGAACGGCACTAATCCTTCCCCGTTTGTTGACAGACCTCCCTGATGAACGAGATGGCCAAGGAGCTGAAGTTCGCCTTCTCGTGTAAGGGCTCGTCGAAGCCGGTCTCGAAGCCGGAGCCTCTGCGGCCCTCTCAGAGCGCCACCTACCTGTCCAACGGACCCGGCAACTGGAACGCCGACGTCACCTTCGAGCCCTACCAGCGGAAGCCGTAGACGGTGAACGTGCTGCAGTGGTGTGGGGAGTATAGGAGAGGATACACGGGGCGAGACGTGCTTTACGTGTGGAGTCTGTGAGTGGTGAGGTTAATGTGAACTGAATGCTAGTGGTGCGGAAACAAGGGTATGAGCTCAGTGAAATGTGTAGAGCATTACTATCCCCATCGACATGATTAGTGCGCGACATAAGTGTCAAAAGTGTGGAATGCGCTGTCGTGTTCGAAGTAGGAGAGAGTTGCTGCCAAGATGGTTAGTGAGCTGAATAGTGCATTGTTGCTGTTGCTCTGGAGATTCGCAGAGAAAAGTGCTATATCGCTGCCTTCAGTAGTCATGGACGTGAGAAATGCTGAGGTGGTCGGTTGTAAACGAAATAAGTCCTCCTTTTCATAGGATTGGTAGCATTTTTTGCAATAAGTGTACGACGTATGCGTTATCATTGCAGGTTTAATAAATCCCTTAGTATTGCTGACATGTGACCTAGTGCACAGTTGTTCATGCTAATGTAGTTGGCTATGTGTATTCAGCCCCGAGCATGTTCTTTTTACTATACTATACTATATTTATTTCGTAGGGCATTGTTATTTGTTTGTTTTAGTTGACCTGTGAGCCTTCTGCTCATGTTTAAGATCACCGTGTCTCGTCAACACAGTCGTATATGAACCTTGATATGGATAACGTTTAAGATTATGCAGATATATCCTACCTACCGTAAATAAACAAGTCAGTCTCTCGAACTTATATTTTTGACCATATAATTTTGATATGCAATTCGGCAGCGTCTTGCTGCCACTCTATGGGACATGGCTGAAACAGGGAGCAGTGTCAGTTCATAACTGATGATGCTAAAAGCTGTCAAGTCACAGAACTCTACCTCACGACAAATTTCGAAATCCCATATTTCCTAAGGTCTTTCTAGAGTTTCAGAAGCAGAGTAGATTGCAGATAAACAGTCACACGACTTCTCTCTCTCTCTCTCTTTCTTTCTCTCTCTCTCTCGCTCTCTCTCTCTCTCTCTCTCTGTCTCTCTGTCTCTCTCTTTCTTTCTTTCTTTCTCTCTCTCTCTCCCTCTCTCTCTCTCTTCCTTTCACCTCTCTCCCTTTTCTGCTATCACTATCGCATTTCTGATTCTTTATTTGCGAGATCGGATATCGGTAAAAATATATATTCGTTCTCGCAAACGCTGCAATCTTTGCGGACTGGGAACCCAGTAGGGTGCAGACTTGTTAACTTATGGACAAGTATCTGAATAGCCTTCCTTCCCCTCAAGGAGACGAGACCCGTCTACACGCACAGTTTACCTTCCCACTCTCTCTAGACGTCTCCCATGTCTCCCGTTGATCTCTCAGTGACCTTGGCAGAGCTGGGTGGCGACGACTAGCTGCATTCCTCCCTCAGCTGCCGGCAGCTCGGCCGTCCACGCGCATTAGAGTCGCGGCACGGCGCGGCGCTGCGGCCGTTCAACTGGCCATCTGCCCCGGGGCGCTCCATCGCCGCGCCGCCGGCGATGAGGAGTTGTGACGTCACGCAGCGCTCCGGCGGCGGCGGCGGCGGCGGAGCGAGTCAGGGCGGCGCGGCGCGTCGGCACGGGCGGTTCTGTGACGGGCGGTGGTTCAGTGACAGTGACGCCGGAGGTGACAGCAGTGGAAAAGGGCTGATGATGTGTGAGCGTCCCGTGCGCGTGTAGTGGATCTGGTGTTTTGTGGGAGACTTCGTGAAACAGAACGAAGTGACACAGACACCCAGTAGCGGGAGATTTCAGTGTGACAAAAAAAAGGAGACAGAGCTAGCAGCGATGAGGTGGAGGACGAGGAATCCTCTCGAGGACCGGTGTAGCCTCCGGCTGAGTCTGGTGGCGACAGGTCTTCTGCTTCATCTCATATCCGGTAAGTGCAAGGTTCGAACATGTCGCTCGTTGCAAAGTGTGACACGAAATATAATATCAATTGCTTGGCTTATAAGCAATAGTGCCATTTTAACCCGCGCCCTGGTGTGGGTCTGAGCCACCTTCGCCCTGGTGGGGGGGGGGGGGGGCCAAAATGACCCCCCCCCCGTCTAACTCGAAAACGAAGAGGGCTAGGAAGACGCGGAAAAAAGCAAACGAAAGCCCATAACAAGTACGTTCGAAAGTATTTCGGTCATTTTTTCGCTAAGGTCAATATTGAGGTCGCTAGAGGTCATCATAGGTCAAATTTCAGTGTTTTCGGTGTTGCCGGACATATTCCGCTGTAGCTCGGAAACTAGAAGAGCTAGAGAGCCGCGGAAAAAAGCAATCGATAGCTCTTTTCAAGCTCTTTCGCCATGGTTCGTCAGATTTGACCTCAGCTCAACGGTTTGGCCTACAGAGGTCATGCAAGGTCAACTTGGCAAATTTCGTTGAAAATGTTTTTAACTATAGCATGCATTCACGAGAAAATAGAGAAACGATTCATGCACCATCGTGCTTGGCTCGTCGAGACGCGTCGAATGATATATAGTTTGACCTCGAAAGGTCATTTTGAAAATTTGACCTCAGGTCAAGGTCATGACCTTACCGAAATAGGTCATGCTGCATATCATTCGATCCGCATTGACGAGACAAACACGATAAACGTCGAACGGAGTCTCTATCTCTATTCAATAACAAGTAAGTGCAGAAAAACCGCTGGTGACCTCTGGTGACCAGGGAGATGACCTAGCGTGACCTCAGCGAGGTCACAAGCAAATGGTTTCACATGGGCTGTGATTTGCTGACCCAAGACACTTCAATAACGAAATATAGGAACAATCACGCCCGATTTAGCTGAAAAACAACTACTTTTCGATTCTCCCATTGACTTATAATGGGGAGCAGCGATGACCTGACCTGACCTTAGGTCACATTTATAAAAAATCCGAGATAGCCATTTTGTAGAGCTGGGTGACATCTTCAAGTACTGTAAATTTTACATCGATCGGATAAAAGCTGTGCCTTTGAGAGAGCTTTGAACTTTTTTAGAGGTGGTGTCAGTTTTGGTGACCTTGTGACCTGACCTGACCTGACCCGAACCCCCAAAAAAAGGACATGATGTAAAAATGTTGAATAAACAGCTATACAAAGTTTCAGGGCGCTAACTCAAGTGGTTTCTGAGTTATCGCTGAAAAACCACAGGGGGGGCCAAAATGGCCCCCCCCCCACCAGGGCGAAGGTTAAACATTACTCTGTCAAATATGCCTGAAAGTATCGCTTTAGCGACCTAAATACATTCTGACATCTTATCTTTATGTGATACAAAAGCAAGGAAGCTTTCGCAGTCTGTAAGGACAAGCTGTCAATGGGATAGGTGCACATGGATAAACAAACTTACTAACTCTAATTCTTGGTAACTAAATGAGAGCTGAATAAATTTTGCTGATAGATATGCCGGAACCAGGTACACCTCTTCATTAATGGAGAGATACATTTTGAAACGCCATTGATATTACTTCGTAATGGGACATTACGACCATATCCTACAACTGTAAAACTACTTAGCTGCAGTTCAACTAGCTATCACACATAATTGTATTGTTACGCTCAAGAACCTTTAAGTCGTACTTGGAAGTGAAGTAACATGAGTGTACCTACTTGAAGTGTTTAGGTGGTGGCGTTTATATCGCTTAAACGTTTTTAGTTGCTCTTAAAATATTGATCCACTTCGTGTACAGATTCATAAACGATTAAAGTTCCACCATCCACGTTCTAAATAAAGTTTTGACTCTTTGTGTGAACATTCATTTCGTTCATGGTTCAACAAAGCCGAGAGTGAACCTTTTCACCCTTTATTAGAAACCTGAAAAAACGACCATTAGAACTGAAGTTGACAGACGGATGGGTATGACGTCACAGAAATGTAACGGCCGATATCGAGAATGCGAATGCGCACGCTCCAATACAATGGTTGTTCCTTGTTACGGTTCCACGTTATGCTTTGTGACTTAATGTGACGGCGTTATGGAAGCCACCAGCTTCAGTGGCGAACCGTGACACCCACAGTTCCTTCGGCTCAGGTCAGGACGCGCACTATGTATATAAATGTAAAGCGAACTCCGACCTTCTATTATTCCACTGACATTGCTCGAGCAACGTTAGATGCTCGCAGGACGTAGTCACCGGTCACCAACTCATTAATACGTTTTGTAGTATATGTACCTACTTTTGCGCTATTTATTGTCTTTTTTAATTTATAATACGCTGAGGATAGTTTCTTGTTCCTAACAACTTTAATTCGCATCGGTTCTATAATTTGCCTTTGATCACTCTGGTATCGATCACTTTGGTGTAGTATGGCCCTATGGATGTTGGCACTTTGGAGTATTTATGTTTTTTTTTGAAATTAATGGCTTGTAAACTATCACGCTAGTGTTAAATGTTTTTGTGTCATTTTGTGAAAACTTCAGAGCTGCAATTACGGCCTGCAAATTTACAGGCTTCTATTCCAGTCATATAAACATGATTGATGATATCTTTCATGCCTCCCTGCTGATCAATTTCGATCATTACGGAGCGAGCGAAGCGAGCGTAGTCTTTCCTTAGATTAACGGAAATTTCTGAGTATGAGCGGCCGGCCGGCCGGCCGGCCGGCCGGCCGTGGTCACGCTTTTGCGAGGCTTATATCTCAGCAACCACTTGACCGATTTACACGCGGTAATTTTTGTAGGGTAGCTTCATTCCTTCTACCAAGTATTGGACTATTCCCGATGCATGTGGGTGACCCCTTATGCACGTGCCACGTGCAAAACGAAGAGGTGTCACTTTTGTAATTGTTGCAATATCTCGGTAACTACTTGGCCGATTGCGCTGAAAGTTGGCATGTAGGTAGGCACCCACTAGGCACTGCATATACATGTGCCAGAGTTGGGGTGCTGCTGCACGTGCGCACGTGCAGGGGTCGTTTCCAGATCTCGGGAACGGCTTGACCGATTGCGCTCAAATTTGGTACACGGTTAGGGACCGGTTAGTAGGGTGCCGTGCACAAGTCAGTTGGGACCCATTTTGCACGTGCGCACGTGCAGGGTGCCGCTTCCAGATCTCGAGAACGGCTGGGCCGATTGTGCCCAAATTTGGCACATCGCTAGAGACCAGTTAGCAGGGTGCCGTGCACAAGTCAGTTGGAGGTACCCCCTCGCAATTTCGCACGTGCAAGGCCCACCCTCTCGCTCGCTCCGTTAGTCGCCCCAAAAGGCGTTATACTGGTTACGGAGCGAGCGAACCGAGCGTAGTCTTTCCTTAGATTAACGGAAATTTCTGAGTATGAGCGGCCGGCCGGCCGGCCGGCCGGCCGGCCGTGGTCACGCTTTTGCGAGGCTTATATCTCAGCAACCACTTGACCGATTTACATGCGGTAAATTTTGTAGGGTAGCTTCATTCCTTCTACCAAGTATTGGACTATTGCCGATGCATGTGGGTGACCCCTTATGCACGTGCCACGTGCAAAACGAAGAGGTGTCAGTTTTATAATTGTTCCAATATCTCGGTAACTACTTGGCCGATTGCGCTGAAAGTTGGCATGTAGGTAGGCACCCACTAGGCACTGCATAGTGCATATACATGTGCCAGAATTGGGGTGCTGCTGCACGTGCGCACGTGCAGGGGTCGTTTCCAGATCTCGGGAACGGCTGGACCGATTGCGCTCAAATTTGGTACACGGTTAGAGACCGGTTAGTAGGGTGCCGTGCACAAGTCAGTTGGGACCCATTTTGCACGTGCGCACGTGCAGGGTGCCGCTTCCAGATCTCGAGAACGGCTGGGCCGATTGTGCCCAAATTTGGCACATCGCTAGAGACCAGTTAGTAGGGTGCTGTGCGCAAGTCAGTTGGAGGTACCCCCTCGCAATTTCGCACGTGCAAGGCCCACCCTCTCGCTCGCTCCGTTAGTCGCCCCAAAAGGCGTTATACTGGTAGAATAACGGAAATTTCTGAGTATGAGCGGCCGGCCGTGGTCACGCTTTTGCGAGGCTTATATCTCAGCAACCACTTGACCGATTTACACGCGGTAATTTTTCTAGGGTAGCTTCATTCCTTCTACCAAGTATTGGACTATTCCCGATGCATGTGGGTGACCCCTTATGCACGTGCCACGTGCAAAACGAAGAGGTGTCACTTTTGTAATTGTTGCAATATCTCCGTAACTACTTGGCCGATTGCGCTGAAAGTTTGCATGTAGGTAGGCACCCACTAGGCAATGCATATCCATGTGCCAGAGTTGGGGTGCTGCTGCACGTGCGCACGTGCAGGGGTCGATTCCAGATCTCGAGAACGGCTGGACCGATGGCGCTCAAATTTGGTACATGGTTAGGGACCGGTTAGTAGGGTGCCGTGCAAAAGTCAGTTGGGACCCATTTTGCACGTGCGCACGTGCAGGGTGCCGCTTCCAGATCTCGAGAACGGCTGGGCCGATTGTGCTCAAATTCGGCACATCGCTAGAGACCGGTTAGTAGGGTGCCGTGCACAAGTCAACTGGAGGTACCCCCTCGAAATTTCGCACGTGCAAGGCTCACCCTCTCGCTCGCTCCGTTAGTCGCCCCAAAAGGCGTTATACTGGTAATTAGATGCCTATCTCGTTTTTATGACTTGGCCTGTATGTACAACGGGAGCAGCTCAGGTCAGCCTCGCCGTAGGATAGTGTTAAGCCACCTGGCCGAGCACATCTGGCTGCTGCCACCAGCTGTTTGGAAACCAAACAGATGTCAGGGAGCGTTCCCATTCATTGGGCTTGTACCTTGCTGTATATTTAAATCCTTAAGTGAACTGAGGTAGGTCGAGTATCACGTGGGTAAGTCACAGCATACGTAGGTGTATTGCACAGTCACTGCACAGCGCAAAGGTCAAGACAGTTACCTCAGAAACCGGCTGCAGTGGGCGGGACGGGCCGATCACCAACCGTCTA